CCGCGCCCGCCCGAAGGCCGCGCCGAGCCTCTTGTCGCTCGGCCTCTTGCCGACGATGATCCCGGGTGTCGGGTCTGCTTACGATGGCGGCCACGATGGTGTACACGTGCCAGCACCACTACAAGTGCACGGAGACGTACCCGACGCTCTCGACGGCGGCGATGGCCCATCCGCAGTTCTACGTCTTTGGCATTGGCATGAACCTCACGTCGTACTTTATCTTCCTCACGATTTCGCTCCTCACGACGTACATGCAAGAGCAGCGCACGATGACCAAGTACGCGTGGGTGTACTATGTCTGGGGTCTCCTCACATCGGCCGGCCTCACGGTCCTCTGCACGTTCGACATGAAGCGCTGGCGCAACACGCACATCATCTCGACCATCTTCTTCTTTCTGAGCTCGTGGATCATGATGATCATGGCCCAAATCGCGCGCCTCCGCATTGCGTCGCCGGCCCACGCGTACGATATGCGATGGTATGAGGATGGAAAGCTCACATGTTGTGTGCTGCTAGGTACCACGTCAAGTGGGGCTCGTTCTTCATCGGCCTCGGCGTTTTCCTGACCTCTACGTGTACGTCCTGTGGCGCATCGATTGTACGTCGGATATTGATGGATGGCCGTGCGTAGTCGGCTTCTTCTATGTGACCGTCCACGGCTACATTGCCAACCCGTATGGCCTGACGTACTCGCAGGAGGCGCTCCTCGAGCTCTTCTCGATCGTGTGCCAGCTCTTGTACATGGGCACCCTCTCGTCCGAAGTCGGATCGCTCCAGTCCTTCCAGAAGCAGCGGCCGTTCCTCCGCGCCATGGACTACGGTGCCTTGGTCGTCCTCGTCGCCGCCGTCTTTGCAGTCGAGTGGCTTTAAACATGAAAGAGCACGAGAGGCCCGCAAGCGCCAACGTGATTGGTCTGCAAACATGTAGCAGAGTGGGTTGGCTGGGTCGATACGTTGATACAAATGGGCGACGCGTAGGCCTTTGGTGGGCAGCTGCGCATCTCCATAGCGCATCAAGTAGCTTCGCCGCCGTAGTATGTTTCCTACTCGGATTGCTGATATGTACTAGGAGGACTGTTTGCAGGTGCACTGACTTCCCACGACGAAGCTGCGATGGGGCTAGGGTACTCATGCCAAGGGCGCGCTCGACCATCCGAGATCGTGGAAGCCACGGGGATCCGCTTTGCCAGCCCATCTCGCGCAGCATCTGGTGCGATCGAGCGACTCACCGGCTGCGAGGACAGGCCATCGCTGATAGTCCGCCATCTGCGCGAGCTCCTCGACGCCTCGTCGCACACTTCAACTTGAATAAGATATTTTGATTCCTGCACGGTTAACCTTCTACGTCTACTCGATTTCCATATCGTACACTACTCACGTCGACTTCTACATGATGACACAGCCTTCCTCTTCGTCGTCGCCGGGCTTGGCGGCCGCGTCGACGGCAGGCGACGTCGACGCTTTCTCCGTGCAAGGACACGCAAAGCTCGACGAGACGCCGGCAAAGTAGCAGCGGCCGCAGTCGTCGCAGTGCACGTCGCGGTGGTCGCCGCAGCGCTTGCACTTGGCGCAGTGGTTGCGCTTGGCCTTCTCGCGGTCGCAGAGTTTGTTGGAGCACCACGAAAAGTCATAGCTCTTCGCGCAGCCCGCGCAAGTAAAGCCGTCAATGCACTGGAGGATCGAGACGTTCTGGTTGGACGCGATGCTCGGGCAGCACGGGACCGGGATGACTTCGTGGAGCTTGGTCATCATGTCGCGGATCTTGGAGAGGTTGTGCATGAAGCAGTCGTCGCGTACGAGCGTCGAGACGTCAATGCCGGCCATCGCGATCGACAAGAACGGGTTCTTGCACGACGTGCACCGGCACGTCACGCCGCACATGCTGCCTTCCTTGACGCACGCGCAGCGGCCGTTGCGGCACCCGCCTGCGCACCGGCACGAGTTGAGCTTCGTCGACGCCGGAAGCATCGTGGGCAGCACCGACGGACTCATCTTGAGGTCGCGAAGCGGCGGGTCGGCCTTGACTGGCG